TTGTTAAAATTTAGTATACTAAAGCATACTTTTTTTTTTTTTTAATCGGGTGAACTTCCTCTTTCATCCTATAAAGAGATCTGGAAGGAGATCTAGACGCTTCTTTATTTAAATGTTTAAATTAATTAGCGAAATATAAAGCACATGTGAACACAATATGCAGAGATTATTTGTCATTTAGGGAACGTGGATTTTTCTCAAAATGCACGTTGCTACTGCAGGAGACAGATGATGAAGATGAGGAGTCTTGCTATATTAAGGAGTGCCTTCATGTTTTCCTGCGCTGGCTCCGGGGCCTCAGCTGCTTTCAACACCCCAGAAATAAAAGGCAAATCAGCTTTGATTTGGTTTGGAAGATGATCTCTAGACAAATCTGCTTCTTACTCTTCCCTACTGTCTGTGTTTGCTTCTGCTGCTTGGTTACCCCCACTAACCAGCCACCAGAAGAGGTTAGTTTACCTTTAGTGGTTGGTTGATCAACCACTAAAGATAAACCAACTTTAAATCCTTTCCATCTCACTGAAGCATTGAAGTTTGATCTGTATTGAACTCTTCTACCCTATAAAAGTAACCAAGTTTTTGTAGCCAAATTCTGTAGGCATCTTGCTTGACACCGCCATTGGAACAGCTTAAAACATTTTCAGTGTGAATATTCAGTGAGAAATCACAGTCCTATCACTATATCAATGACAAATGATTTTGTCATTTTCCAATTCAGTTTATAATTCTGGTTTTTCAGAGTTTTGATGCAGGCTCCATGGAGCTTCTGCTTTAAGCTGCCATCTTGATTCTCTGTTTCATAGCGCCCCGAAAAGTCATATTTTAATATTTTAATGATTCCCCTTGTGGTTCATGCTGCCCCTGCTTCCACAAAGTTCTTAGATAACTTTCTGACCACCTACAGGTAGCATGATTAATGCAGTGAATCCTATTGAAAACATGTAATTGGAGAAGAAAACCTGCGTCTTTGCTTCCAGCCTGCCTGTGGTTTAGTTTTGGGCGTGTTGAGTGGGAATCGCTCTGTTCTCAACCTGTTATAAATTCTCAAAGTAAAACCTGCCATGAAGTTTGCTGGGTGGTTCCTCTGGCTGAAATTTTGCAGTTAAGATGATGATGATGATGATGTGTTTTTCTTCCTCCTCTGGGTGGAGCTATGTTTTTGCTCTGCTGCTACATTGTGTTCATAAAAAGTACGTCAGAAATTAACATTAAGAGAGTTACATTTTTACATTTGTTACCTGATTCACAATCATTTAGGCAACAAATTTCAAATTTTTACTTGTTAAAAATGTAGCGTTGCGAGCTGACTGAGTCGGACTGAAAACGTGAGATCAGGCTGATTGGCTAGGGGGAGGAGTCACTGGTTGCATCACTTTACTTCTCCACTGGCATCCCTTTTTTGCCTCTCTTCTTTTTAGAAAAATCTACAGACTGAGCAGACTAACACAGATTGGTCGTGTTCTATTTGATCAGACTCTGGTCTACTATATGATCCCAGTAGAAAAACCGGTTGTTACAAATAGTTTGGACATCAAATTTTTGTACCTCTAGAGATTACTTTAAAGGCAACTCTCATACAGAAAAATCTAGAAATCCAGATAACCTACTGGATATGAAAGCAGGAAGTCCTAGAAGATGACTTGTCCAGGAAACAATGTTAAGCAAAACTACAAGTGACATTCTGTACCTTTTTTAAACAGACCTCTTTTCTTTGGTTATATGTTAAGGAAATAAATCTGGCCTAAGGTGAAACACTGAGTCAATCAAGAACAAATCAAAATGCATTTTGATTATTATTTTATTAAGAAATTAAGCAAAGAAAATGAGCAATGACTCCCCTGGCTAGTCCAGGAAAGTAGGAAAAGATGAAAGTACATCTCTTTTAATATTCAAAAAACCATACACCAACCCTGGGTACACCAGCTCTCTTTGTCAGAGGGCTGGTGATTAAACTGAAACTGGTGTACGTCAGAAATTAACATTAAGACAGCTAAATTTTTACATTTGTTACCGGATTTGTTACCAGTTTCAGTTTCATTGTTAGCTCTGGTATTTGCACCTACAGACTGTGACCCTGGACCAGGGGCGTGGTAAAGGGGTGAAAAGTAATGACAATTCTAGGGGACCTGACCAGCAGGGGGCCTTCCACAATTTATTTATTTGTCTTTTGTTCATAGAAATGAATAAAGAAAAATCGGGGTCCTGTCAAATACAAAATTAATCATATTGTATTTTCAAAGATTGTTTTTAGCAGTAAAATTTTAATGTTACCCCCTCCCAGACCAAAAAACACAAATCTGTTTTTGCTCTGAACCCCCCTGGATCTGCATAAAATGGTTCGTTCCTGCTTGGAGCGTTCAGCTGCAGTTAGTAGAAGCTGCAGCTAAATACAGCTGCCACGAAATGACTGTTCCAGTTACTATGCTGCTAAGAA